TGAAAAAGAAAAAAAAATCATTACTAAAATGAGAAAAACTAAAATCGTTAACTTATGAGCTTTAAACAAGGGGGTGCCCAGACTTTTTGCCCACTCTGTATGTTCTATTGTTCAATAACCTCTTCATTTACACTTACAGTTCCTGTAACGATATATATGCAAACTGTTTTATAAAACATCATTAAGTTGTATACTTGTTGTCAAGCGCGAATCCACACAAGGGGTTATTTGTGCTGTGCCCACCATGGGTATCGAAACCCGATTTTTTAGCGTCGTAAATCCAGAGACTTAGGGCTGAACCACTGTGGGACCACTATAGAATGCAAAAAAAAAAAAACAAATATGCGTTTCTGTTACTCATATTCGTCTAGAGGTAAACGAGGAAGAAAGGTCCACCTTTGAAAAACGTTAGGGTTATAAGGTTTTATCGTTTTATATTAAGCCTTCTTGAAACTACGTGTTTTTCTGACGTCATATATTTTTCTTTTTATACCACAAAGTTCTGATTTTTATATGTGTATTTTAATGGTTTTGAAACGCACAACAAAGTTTAATTAACAGTTGTATATGTTTTGTGATGACACAAATTTTACGGTATTTCAAAGTGGTTGTTGCGATAAGAACTTAAGAAATAATACTTTTGTAGATGAAAAATTTAATTATTATTTAAAGTCTTTTCCGAAAGGCTCCCATAATCTTTAATATATTAAAAACTTCCCGCACCATACATGACCCAATTGTCTTTCTGAAACGTTTATCTGCGATAAACAGCATTCCAATGTGTGTTATCCTGATTTGCTCCTGTTCTGTATAGGTTTTGTTAGAGTATGTTCTTGTAAAAGTAACCTGAAAATCTTTTGATAAGTGCTTATACATGTACGGTGAACATAAGAGGCTATATCTTGTTTTGACTAATAAAAATTACCGCCCAACAACATTTGAAATCATCATCTTATAAAATTATACTATGAAAATATTTCATAAATAATTCGATTGCAATAAAAGTAATGATCTACAAACATTATTATTTTCTTGACAATAATATTGTACGCCATAGCAAATCGTGTTTTGTTGTTCTTTCTTTATGTAGACCGACATGGCCAGTAGAGTGCTCGACTCGCAATCTGTGGGTCGCGTGTTCGAATCCCCGTCACATCAAATATGTTGGCCTTTCAGCCGTGAGGGCGTTGTAATGTTAAGGCGAATCCGCTATTCGTTGGTAAAAGAATAGCCCAAGAGTTGGCGGTGGGTGGTGATGACTAGCTGCTTTCCCTCTAGTCTTACACTGCTGAATTAGGGACGGCTAACGCAGATTGCACCTGTGTGTAGCTTTGCGCGAAATTCATAATAAATAAACTTTCTTTAAGTAGGTCTTAAAATATATTGTTATTCTGTAAATGTCATATGTATGACTCTTCTTTGCAATTGAGTAACACAAGATTATTAACAAATGAAACGACCGTGAGCTACGGATAATATGTATATATACTTCTGGCGAAGGAGTCAAGCCGAAACGTTGAACAAATAAAACAAAGTTGAAAGGTTCTCTGTAGTTTACAGTTGTTTAATATACTCATAATTATGTTCACTATATTCCAGTCAGCATTATGTTGTTGTTGTTTTAAATGAGTTATACAAGTTTAGCCAATTGGCGTTTTGTTGAAGTGTTAGATTCGGTTTTCTCTTGAGAGCAAGAATAAAGTGGGCCTAGTGGTTAGCGGACAAAAATCATGATTCAAATCATCATATGCAGGTAAACATACGCTGCACTTTCTCTGTTTGGGCATTATGACAATCAAAGCTGCGGTTGAGTTGTTAGTAGCTGTGTACGTTAACAGGTTGTTCTCGCTCTGGTCATCAGTTCCAAATTAGGGACGACTATGATCTGGCCAGTTAGCGCGCCAAATGTCGTATCATATGTGTTTTGGGTTGACAATGTTTAATACCAAACATAATAACATTAACTTAATCAATAACATTGCCGAAATGTACAAAGTGATTGTTAGACTATATAATATGTTGTTATTCTACAATTCAATCATTATTTGGCTTGAGTGCGTTGAGATATTGTATTAACGTCCAGCAACATGAAGAATAAGACTCAAGAAAAGTTTTAACTTTCCACAGTACGTATAACCAAGTGAAACAGTGCATATTTTAAAAATTGATTATCTTGAGATAAAGAACATTATTGGAAGAAGTTATTTTCTACACGATCTGTTAAATTGTAGAGCTTAAAACAAACGAGTTATTAAAACTTAATTATCAATATATCAATAACTGATTCTCTGAGCATCTTCTTTCTTTCAGTAAAAGCTTCAAACTAAGGAGTTGTGGTATCAGTGTTTGTTTGTTTTGAAGTTAAGCACAAAGCTACACAATGGGCAATCTGGGCTCTGCCCACCACGGGTATCAAAACCCGGTTTCTAGCGTTGTAAGTCCGCAGACATGCCGCTGTGCTACGGGGGGGGGGGCATCAGTGTCAAATTTAATACAAATACTTCACTCTGGCAATAAATGCACCCCAGTGACACAATGGTATGTCTTAAGGCTTATAACGCTAAAACCCAGGTTTCGATACCCATGGTGGGAACAACACAGATAGCCCATCGTGTGGCTTTGTATTTAACATTAAACAAACAAAACTGACAGTAAACAATGGTGATAATAATCTCAAATCAAAGTACAATAACGGATATAACGCTGTTCATCATAATACAAACTCAAAAATGGCTGTTCTAGATTTTATTCAAATTATGCTAATAACATTACTTCGAATAAGCATATTTCCATAAACTTCTGGAATAGTAAGAATCATATTCAGTCAGCCAAGATATAATGCACACTGAGGGTTTGTGTTTGAGAGAGCATAGTAATACATGCAAAATTCTATAACGCGTCCCCCTAAAGGTACGTGCTCTTCCTACATCACTATTAGTCATTCCAATACAAAATGAGGGATGATCTAACCTCAAGGTATCACCTGACCTGCCATCAGAAAATATCGCTGTATACTTTCACATCAAAGGTTCAACTTTACAGAATTTGTTTCCCATGGAAAGATACACGTGATACTATAGGCGAATGACCCAAGACAGCAAGTAACAAAGACAAAAGTAATTTAACCAAATACTTGACAACCATTCTATAGTTAAACTTACATATAAATAACATGTCAAATACTATTATGTCTGTCACATCCGAGTCGGATTTAAAAACGTTGGTATTGGGTAAAAAAAGTCTTCATCGATACAGTATAAAGCAGATACAGTGTCAGTTTCACAATATCTTGGTTTGCTCGGATTTATAACCAAGCGATTGTCCACTGAAGCTTAAGCTAAGTGAGGGCAGTTTGCACTATTTCTCCAATTAACTAGCAAAAGACAACAGTGATACACAGGTTTTATTATCATCAGGAACTGCAATTCACCTCTATGCCAATAAAAGTTGTGTATGGCCAACTATTTCCACATTTGTGAAGCATCTATATAGTTGTAACCAAAGAAAATGTAATCTAAGTATAGAACCATTACTACGTAAATAAACTGGACTAATAAAGGTTAGTAATATGAAGTTAATCAAATCAATATTACATTTGCATGCTAGTGACAAGTAGCAGTATTTGTGCTAAGACACGCAATTTTTGGTTCGTGTAGAATTACTATGATGTATATTTTTTCACATGAAAGAATAGTTATTTGTGATGTTTATTATATATCTACATGACAGAAATACACAGTTATGATAAGATTTTTCACTGAGTTTAAACTATAACCAATAATGGTACTAACATGTATTTCAGAGTTGCTAACCATCTAAATACTCCTAAAAGCAGCATGGAACCTTGTGCAAGAAATCTCACACTACCCACTAAAAGACAGAGGGCTAGTCCTAATCTAATTTTCTGTCAGAAAACACAAATTTTAAGTCAAGCCGTTATTCCAAAAAGGGAAGCAAGATATTTTTGAAAAGACTGAAGCACTGGTGATTGGAACATGTGTGGTTGTGTGAATAGTTTTTACAGAAGGCAAAGAAACATGGTCATAAGTGGACATAAGGTTCAACATTGTTATTTAAACTTTTTTGTTGTGTTCTTTTGAAGTGGACGCAAGTAAATATGGTGCATGAAAAACAAATTGTCACAATACAAAAAGCACCATATTTGTCTTTGGTAATTGTCCTTTTGACATACCCTGGGGATGTATAGCCAGCAAACTTTCTAGCTTTCAGCTTTGAATTAAGCAACTTTGTATCTGGACTATTACTTGCACCCAGAAGTTTGCATTATTAACATACTTAAATGAATGAAAATACCACTATGACTGCATAGTACACAATTAAACTGCATTATTTGTTTTCTACAGACTTTCATACAATACATTGTTCTTATACCTAACCATGACTCCTAGTGATACAATAAAATATATTTCCTATGAAAACTATAGCACAACACAGAGTAAAACAGCATATTGTGTAACCCTCTGAAACTACCATGACATTAGCTACGATTGTAAAATAACTTCTCATTGAAACGATGAACTTCTAGTTACATGGTAAAATATATTTCTCAAAGCACTATAATAAAGATTATGTTTGAGAATTATGTTCTGAAAGTTTAGAAAAAAAACACTGAATTTAACGTAAACAATATATTTTTTGTATCTGGTGCTACTAAGATTAGCTTATCAAAAATTCAACATAAATATCCAACAAAGTGAAAATTATCTAGTAAACAAAACATATACATGAAAGCTCATAAATAGATGAGCCATAACTTAATAATGGAAGTCCACAAGTTTAACTTGATAATGATTTAATAATGGAAAGCAAGAGTTCAACTAAACAAGTTCATAACTTGATCAAACTTAATAACAGGCAAATACAAAATGCATTGACAAGTTAATGAAAGTTTGGCTTAATGGATAATCACTTAATAATGGAAAACTATGAGATGGCTATCTGATGAGATAAAACTAAGATACCAAGTAAAGACAAACTTCAACATTTACAACAATATTTATTTGCCTATGAGAAGAAAATCAGTAACTTATCTTTTGACATATAAAAAACATGCATGACCACATACAAATTGATAAGAGTAAACAGATGTAAAAAGATCATCAAATGGTAATTAACTTATTATTTTGGTGATGAAGTGGAAATTATGGTTAAACATTATATCCATTTTTAAAGATTAAAACATAAATCAGCTTGATTAAGTTTTCATTTAGAACTAACTTAGACAGAATTAAGTCCATTTATGACAGTTCTGAACTTTAAAAATTAATAATATGTCCTATAGATAACTGAACAATTTCTTCTTGTTGCAAAAACATCTTTTGACATTTCTGAATGTCATAAAGTGCACAAATATATTACATTTAGCACCATGTTTTCATACAAAACAGCATGAGGGCCATATTTAAAAAATCCTACAAAACCCCAATGATGTATGATATTAAGCTATATTTATGAATAATAAAAAATACAATTTTATCTTTTCTTTCAGTCATGATCTATAGGTATATAAAATATAATACCAACACTGTTTTCTATGAACACACACACATTTATAACAAGAGAAATACACAAGTTTCAAGAGCCAGTAACTAGTTCTTTATCCATCTGGTCATTCCAGTTCCACTAATTAGAATGCATTGAATATTTATCAATATAAACTGGTATAATGTGTCTAAAAGTTTAAAGCATTTATTATATGAATATAGAACATCAGACAGCTGAAAAAATTACTGTATTTTCTATAAAATTCCTTGTTAACATTTAAGTAACAAGATCCACACTCCTATAATTCTCAAAATTTAGTCACTTGTACATCATTTTGTTTTCTATACTTCATCAAAATGAGTACATTTTTTATTTATCTTTGTACTTGTATTTCGTTCAAAGTTTGCTTTAAAATTTATTTCTAAAACAGCTCATGATTAAAAGTTTAACTTTGAAAAAAGTAGAAAATAGAAAAAATGTTTTCATAGAATAGTTAAAACAATAAAATATGCCTCTCTCTTTAGTTCTTGATATTTCACAACCAAGACAATGTCTAAGTACCCTATCAGTTTCTGAAAGTCTGTATAATAATAATAAAAAAACAATCAACCTACTAGTATAAACTTTGATGCTTAAGAAGCTGTATGAAACCAACAAGTATGCTTTAATGCCAAGTTAGAAGTTAAACTAAAAGATAAACATTGAATAGGCTCATCAGTGAAACAAGGCATAATACAAAAGATATATATATAATTAACAAATATATCATAAACAACCACTGAATAAGCTCAAAAAATCTATTTCATCTCTTTCAAAGTTGAGAGCCAAAAATCCTTTCCATTTTCCATGTTTAGTGTAATGTTCATTTTATATTGCTTTGTTTAACTTTACTTTTAACTTCTACTTACAAACCTATTCAGGACTTAGCACCATGAACAACTTGTTACTTTAAGTACTTTCTTCTTCTATTTAAAAACAATAACTTTTGATTATAATTATAACAAATAAAACAAACGTTTACAAATCTTGTTATAACGCATGGCACAAATATGCCCCCTGCACCAAATAATACATTTTCAAAATTAGTATCTTAAAAACAAATGGCACCTTTTTAATTCTAGTAATAAGGATACATGTACTAATTTTATTATTAATACTTATAACAAGGACCTGAAACATAAAATACCCATAAAACATTTATAATTTTAATATTTAAAAAAATTTTACATTCAAATCCATCATTTTCTGGATTGAACTAGAAAGAGAGAATTTTGAGAATTACATATTCAGGAGATTCAATGCTGAAATACTAGAGCTTCGTATCAAACAAAAAGATTCACTGATATCTGAAAGGGTTTCAAAGTGACAACACTATTTTGACCATATGTAGATATGTATTCAGCTCTCCATTGAAAAGAGATCAAAATAACATGAATATGATACACTTAAACACATGTACAGTTTAAACAGGACTATCAGATGTCCACTCAAAATGTTTTGCACCACACAAAAATTAGTTTCATGCAATTATATATATCATATTCATTGAAAATGGAATCATAGAAAACCCCACACAGACATGTATACATGTAGTCCATCATTTAATTATTACCAGGTAAATTTATAAACTTAATGACTGTAGTGAAAGTGAAAGATGCACATGTACAATATAATTGAATAATATATACACACACACACACACAACTGTTCTTAACCCTTGAGCTTAGTGTAATTTGTACAAATAACTAACATAACTTTAACAATCTTAAAACAAAGTTTATAAAAGTGACTTTAAAATGTTTAAGTGTGAAACTTCCTCAGCTAACAAGAATTCATTAACTTTGAACATACTGTATTTGAAAAATATGGTATTAAACAAACTCCTAACATCAGATTTTCAGATTGAAAAAAATTTTCAGCATCACTAAATTTTCACAATCAAAGTATTGCTATTTAATCATCATTATAACCCTCTCCTGGTATCTGACACACATTAAGTTTCCTTACAATTCCAGAAACATTACATGAAAGCAAAATACTTAAAGTAATTGACTTGCTTTAATGAAATCAGTCAGATACTTTTCAAAAATACACAAATTCAGTAAAAGTAATTGGGCACACATTTTTATTTCCATTTGTGTTTTTTTTTTAATGGTTCTAAAAAAATGGATCCTAAGCAGTTCTGAATGAGTTGTCTTTTTATAACAAATACAAACTGAACAAATTAGCTGAAACGAAAACTGCTAACCTATTTTATTACAGATGCATAAAGAAGTTTCGTTAAAACAAATGTTCTCAAGCAGTTTTTAAAAGACCACTTGTCACACAGTATTACATGTACAAATGAAAAAACTAATGTTGCTTTCCAAAAGCTAAAGCAAGTTTTAAATGAACTGTAAAAAAGTACAATTGAATAATGACAGATGGATTACCAGATTATACATATACAGTGAAAAGTTATTAATTTTCCTAGATCACATTAAATTGATATTTGTTAGTGAAACTCGGATATAAATAACTCCTTGGTCTTACTAAGAATAAGACCAAGGATTGCCTACCATCAAATATACTTTTTATGGATAAGTTTGAGACTATTATGACAGATGTTCAAGGATATTAAAAAAAATAATGGACAGCATTCAGTTTAACATGGTGACTAATATTCCTAACATTAAAGTGCTTATTAGTAATAAATGATATTACTAAAGCTTACTTACTACATCAAGACCGTAACTTTTCCTTGCTTGATAAGACAAGATTGCTTACAATATTGCTGCCAATGAATTCTTAACCTTACACCTGGTGGTTTTCATAAATTTCATTATAAGAAAAAATCTAAAGTAACTTCCTGTTCAATTAAGATACATAAAAACACAAGTTGTGTGCACCAGGTCAAAGCCAACATAATCATCAGATTTACTGGAAACAGTATTTTTTTTCAAAATGTTATGTTTATTTGTAAAATATTAGAGTATTAGAGACACCAAAGATATTATGTAAAAAAATTTTAAGCATCTAAGTTGCAAATTTTCAAAGTACAACTTAGAATATATGTTCTATAAAACATGTAGCTTTCTAACAATAATTAATATAAGTTGTTTTTCAAGGAAAAGCTGAAGAGAATCAATAAGGTTGTGTATTACCTTAGTTATTTCAAAAATAAAATTCTCTATTTAGCTAGAGAGAGAGAGAGAGAAAAAGCATGAATGTAATGAACAATGACTTTTGATAGACTGAAAACCCTGTGAAGGGTAGTACAAGTGCAAATTTCATGTTTCATGTATATGAAACAGCTTGTTTGTTTATTTGGTTGTTAAGCACAAACTACATAATCGGCTATCTGTGGCTCTGCCCACCACAGGTATCAAAACCCAGTCTTTATCATCAGCTTCTGTATGAAATTATGCATTAATTCAATATAACTAAGCCTTCAATAAGATATAACTGTATAGTAATCTCTATTGGCTCGTGCTCAGATTATAAGGAAGATAACCATTGTAGATAACATGGAAATAAAAAAAACTATTATAAAATGTTAATCTATAGCAAGTAAAAAAACATGTCTTGTTTATATATGTATAGCTCCTAAGTACAGAATAATGGTAATCTGAGTCCATAACAAAATTAAAGAAATCAACCATACACTGAATCATGTTAGATCTTTCTAGTATCATATAACAGCCTGCTTTATGTTTATTCAACCAACTGACAAGCATATTATTCTTTTTAAAACATCATTACAAGCAATTAAGATTTTACTTATCCACATTAAAAATTCAGATTTGAAAATGTCATCACAACTGCTGGATTCTATTGTACTTTTCTTTCATGTCCATCTGGTCATTTCTTGGATCTTTCTTTTTACGGGCAATTAATAATTTGCGCATTTCTGAAGCACTCATATTGAAGTTCAGATCACTTGTAGGTGGTGAAACTCCAGGACCATTTTGACTGTGATTGCTTGAGTGAGGTGAATCAGGGGCTGACTCAGTGTTACCAAGGTTCAAGTTGACTTCTCCATTTTTAGGCTGGCTTGGGGGTGTTGACTTAGCCAAAGCTCCATTCTAATGTTAAAAACAAACATGTTATTAAAAATAAATTTTCAAAATGATATATAAAGGTTTACTTATCTATAAAACACATTAGAGCATTAGATTTTTCTTTGTTATTTGATGAAATGGTTTGTGCTCATTGGAGATGTGTTGATTAATAGGTAATCCACTATGATTGTTATGAAAATGGACAGAAATAACAAAATGAACTTTTTTAAACTTTGGTTGACAAAAATAGTCAAACTTTGAAATCAACCAATAAAATAAAGTGCAATTTAAGCACAAATAATAGGTTTATACTACACTGCACAATAATTACAGACTACATGAATAGAATTAATATATTTTGCTTTTAAAATATTCATTGGTATAACCAGACAATGTAACAGTACTATTCCTAATGAAGTTCACTGTCATGTTGGCTCCAGTTCTCTTAACAAACAGATCAGTAGGAGTGGAAGTTTAGCTACCGACTCTTGATGCAGTTGAAATAGCATTCCGATTTTGTTAATTATTTACTTTTGAGTATTAAGTATCATGCAATACATAAATAAAAAAGTGGAACATAAAAATCACACAACTTATAATTATACTTTCTCAACCAACTCGCCACAAATACTAGTTCACACCGGAATGTATAAAAACAAATTGCACAAAATGAGAATTATAAAACATTCTTTGGAAAGGTGTATGTGCAAATATTCTAACTGCATCGAGCACCAAGTTACCCTAAGCCATCACCGTTAAATTAATTTGTAATTGGTGAACAGCCATAGTAGCCTTTGTGATAACGCAATAACCATCCAAACTACAAATTGGAACATCTCTATATTGATAAAATTTTCATAGTTTTTACTTTTTTGAAAATCAGTTACATAAATTAAAATACATTATTAACTATAAAATTGAAAAATTCACTGCCAAGCAGTAAGCACCTAACAATATGAAGCACAAATTGCACAAACCCCACTATATGAATTTCAGTCCTCAAAAGACTAAACGGTTGTCCGTCATCTGTTTGTACTTGTATCTTTATGTTTAATATAAACATTAAGATATAAAAACTTAAGAATATTATTTGTTTATGATGTTTACAACATAAAACAAAACATCAAGTCCAAGGTACAACCACTTTTTCAGAAAAAGTTTTCAAAAAAAAATTGTTATTCTGGTTTGCATGTTATACATATTATAATAGAACTGACTAATAATTAACAGGCCCTCTTCTAGCTCTAACTACATTATAACAATGATCAGGTATGGATGCTATCAGTTTTTTTTACCACTGTCAGTTAATACTTTTTTCCATATTTGCTAAACAAATGTCTTTTAAATTAGTTAACATTTCTTTTGCAATATTAGTTTTCATATAAATTTTCAACTAGATTATCAGTGGAACTTTGGGCTGGCTATTTCATAATTTTGTTACATTCTTCTCCAAATAGCTATCATTCAGCATGACAGTATGTTTTATATCATCGTCACACTGAAATTCAAAGTCATGACCAATTAAACGCCATCTACTAAGCATTAAATGATGAATTAAAATGTTGTGATACTACTGCTCCTTCATAACACTGGCAATTTTGAAAATAACTCTACACAAGCAGTAGAAAATATCATCATACTGTTATATATCAACTACCACATTTTTACTGTTCTGCTTACATGCACTTGCTTGACTTCTAGTGGTTATGTTTCAATAAAGAAATTATCTTAGAACTGCAGAAAGCTTAATCTTTCTTTCATCTGTCCACAGTACTTTGCCTTATTTGTTCTTCCAGTTTTTGTTTTTTGAGAGCCTTTACAAAGTTTGAACACTTGGTGTCATCTCCATGTGTGAAATATTAGGCTTTCTAGCAGCAACTTTCTCATGTAGACTTTGAATAGTTATGATATTTACTAACTTCAAGAACATTTTGTATTTATATATTCATTCCTACTGTAGGATGTTTTAAATCAATCCGAAGTTCTTAAAAAGACAATGACCTTCAATCTGGGTGTTTGTCTCTTATTACACTTTAAACTCTCAGTTGCAGCAAACTGATCTACTGTCAAAATGCCCCTTCAAAATAATTCAAGCTGCTGAACAACATACCACCAAGTTTTCTTTCATTTATGTAAAGCAATAATTTGTGCTAATTGTTCATTGCTTCATTCTAAAACATTTTTCTTATATCATTAGTTCTCTTTACTGGTTACTCAACATAATCAACTCAACTGAAGAAGTGCCAAAAAATAAATACATCATGAAAATACAAAGAATCAAGCCCACGCAATTTACACATAATAGTGCTCAGTAATTGTTCTTTAATCATGTCATGATAATGTCTATCTAGTGAATAATTGTTTTTATTCTATTAAGACAACAAAAGTTATCAACAGTGGTTTTCATTCTTTCAGGTCTTTTATACCAAAATCGGCCTTTTCTTGTTCAACACAAACTCATGACTGATACCATATATTATTAGACAAAACTATTTATTAGTTAATTTATATTTTAAAATTGTATTCATTCACGCAAATAAGAAGGTGGAGCTCTGAAGTATTAAAACAGTACAACAGTTATTTCAGTAAAAGCCAGGCAATTAATGGCAGTTGATAAGTGATTAATTTATTAGTACATCATTCCTCTAATTATGGTGAACATTCTCGCGTATGAGCAAAAAAGAAAAAGTACTCCACCAGTTTGCAGTGGATATTTCCAGTCAGTTGCTTTCCCTCTAGTTATCAGTTACAAATTAGTGACAGATAGCATTAGGAGGTTTGACATAATAAACACAGGGTGAGCAGGTTTGTTGGCAATGAAGACTGAAGTTAAGACACTCAACTCATGAAGCACCTAGATCTTATTTTCCAAAACTTGTACAAATTACCTTTAATAATTTCAGGTCATCATGTTTAAATTAATCAGCACAGAATTTTTACAGGAAACCTATTCAAACTTCTACAAATTTTGATAATTTAAATCTAATCAGCTTTATTGTTATTTATTTTTACAATGTTTCAAGAAAAACAAGTTCAACCAGGAATTCATCCAGAATGGTTTAAAATCTTCCAATACATGTGACTTGCAGTAAGGGAAAACTGAAAAGAAAGTTGAAATCCACAAACGTTAATAGTTGTTAAATATGGAATTGATAATATTGTCAATTTTTTTAAATATTTTTATATAAAACATTCTTTTTCTGTGAATAATTAATATTGAAAGTAAAATAATTCTTTGTTTACTACATTGTCTAGAACAAGTCTTGGTAACTTTTTCATCCTATTCATAAATTGTTTAACCACAGTAGCTCTTTGCAGCACACTTAACAAATAATGTCCTTCAAATAATAAGATTCAAAAAGATCTATTTATTTAAAATGATGATTTTATCACTCTTACCTTCTCAACCTCTATAGAGCCCAGTTAAAATGAAAACTATGTATGCACACATTATTAAAAATAACATTCACTATTATCCAACACTGACTTGAAGTGCAATTTAGAGTATGAAGTAATAGTACAAGGGATAGAACAAATTTCAACAAATATTAACCTTATTTAAACTAAGGTTTAAAAGCAATTTGTATGGATTTATGTAATATCAATATTTTATATTATTCCTGGTATACAGAATGTTGAATCAAAAGTAATAGAAAATTGAGAAAGATTTTCTTAACCTCACAGATCAACACTTTTGTGTAATAAAGATAGACCTTTATTTTATGATATTTTATTAAATACTAGCATAAAATATCCACACTCCACTGCAAGATTCTAAGGTCCTCTCATGATTCAGAGGCCTCAATGTGTCAGTGAAGCATCTCCATTACCTTAATTACTTCTTTTGCTACCCCAATGCACCAATTCTTTAATTGATTTATCTATTGCCATTTCCCAAACTTAATTCAATTCGACTCTTTTTAAAAGCAAATTTTTAATTTAATTTCTCATATTCGTTTTTTTTTTATTCCTGTGTTTTTATTATAATTCTTTTCATTTTCCAATTCATATTTTTCTTCCTGTTGTTTGTTGCCATTTCCCAAACTTAGTTCAAGTTCAACTTTTTTTTTTTTAATTTGTAGATTTGTATTTTTCTTCCCATGTTTGTGTTGAAAAAGAGTATTTGACAGAAACCTACCATATATTGTTCATGGAGTAAGTGAGAATTAAGAAAAAAATAATGATACTTTTCTATAGACCTACAGGAAGAAGAATTATGGTGCTTAAGATCTATAGGGCACAAAAAACAAAACAAAAAAATTCTAGAGTAAAAAAAATCTAAAAAATAACACCCATGTGCACACCCTCAGAGTCCCCTCAGTATGTGTGCAAAGTTTCAGGTCCCTAGGTTCCTTCCTCTTGAAGCTATGGTGGTCACCCACACACAGAGGCTCTTATTATTATACATTCTAACAAGCCAAGGAAATTATAATAGTTAGGACAGGGCATTTTGTAGCTATTAAACATTCAGTGGATAAAGGATTTACATGTAACATATGTAACTCAGCTAAGGGTTAATAGTATGAATTCACAGGTATGGGAATCTCAAATCAGGCAACTGCTCCAACAGCAACAATCCTTAAATCATTAAATGAAGTGGAAATTTGGCAAACATAAGAATAATGATTTAAACAAAAAACAAGAAAATGGGGCCAGTTGTGCTAGTAAACTCTCAATGGAGGTCATGTGTAAACACTTGGAACAGACTAAGCCAAAATTATTTTTAACCAGTATTACTTACTGTTCATATTAGGTACAAATAAAAACTATCTTATTTTGATATTTTTAAATATAATGTACAAAATGAAATATCCTATATTAAGGAATCTATCTGAAATAGTGAGAAAAAAATGCATATTATTTCAGTCCCACTTTACGGCCTAGAAAGCTTTAGGAGGTATAAAAGAAAAAAAAAAAGACTATTTTAGGTCAAGGAAAATAAAGTTCCTCCCTTACTTTTTGTTGTATTTACTGGGGTGAATTTTAACTATCATGAGGAATTATTTCCAGATATACAATATACAGCAAGTAATTTATTAGCTACTCGAGGTCATTGAATAAAAATACAATATTATCAAATACCAAAATTCTTGATTCTGGAGGAAATTGTGATTATATTATTAGATATATGTATCTATGAACTTCATCCTACATTTATGTGACTTATGATGTAGATAAACATACTCATTGTATTGGTCTTTCATTGCAATCTCTTTGTAACAAGAGCAAAGTTCAAAGCCACTTGTAGCTTAGAATGTAAACAGGGAAAACAGTAAAGTCGTACCTGTACATTACATATGCTGTTCCAGTTTTCATAACTACTTAAATTATTTCATTGAAAATTCAAATGCAGATATGTAATGTTACTTTATACATTTAATGTACACACACAAAAGTTAAAGGGAAAAATACATAACTGTTTTTCTCGACATGTTTATGGGTATGAATAATAACATTGAGCTCTTTCAAAAATGTTAAGTTATCCAGGTGGTTTTAAAGTGATCTTGCTGGTTCCAAAAACTTTGTCACCCATTTTTCTAAATGTGAATTGTATTACACAGAATAAATCTAGTCTACTTTGGTTTCTGGATCATAAATGTATGTTTATGACCACTGTATACATACACTATCTCATTGAAAAAAAAAACAAAATGGTGTAGTTCATGTGTTTTGCATAAATTTCTTCTAATTTATGCAAATTTGAAAGAAAACTATTAGTTTGCTGAGTTTTAGACTAGATGAAAAAGTAATGACAATGTTATTAATATCCCAGTCTAATAGTTATTTTAATACAAATCACTCTTGCTCAATAGCCAAGTAAAATAAAGTTAGATGAATTTGACAAGTACAGGATTATTAACTAAAGTCACTCAGAAAAAATGTTGGATATTTACAGCGCAAGTGAAAATGTAATAATAATAAAAAAAGAATGAAATTAAATGTACTAGTTGCAATGGAAACTGATATACTGTTTTTATTTGAAACATATATATATTATGTAGGTACAATTATTAGCATAATTTTGTGCATTATAATAACATCAAAAATATATCTATCAAAGAGTGAAACTTTTAATAACTGGATGAGCAAAAATAGCTTGTGTGATTTTCAGTGTGATAGCCAGTTGTAAAATAAACATTTTCTAATCAAGAATTGCATTATATTTATTGTGTGTTTAATTTGCGGACACTGTGAAGGAGCATATTTACAGTCAGTCAGGGAAATATACAACAGGCAATTTATAAATACAACAATTAGAGTAAGTATTTGTTCAAGAGTTAGTTTAATTGTTAGACTACAGTGAATTAAATATGTGTTCACTTGACAAATTGTTATTCATAGATACTCCCCAAATTATAATTAAATATATACTTGTGAAACCTAAAGAAAGATGATTTTGAAAACTAAATTGATCTTTCTGAAATTAATTTTTTTAAATTTTGATAAAATCAATTTTCAAAAGTGTAAAACTTTCATAAATAAAAATGTTTAAGATAAATATTACTAATCTAAATCATAAAATGCCCTTTATATGCTGTATTTAATAAATAAAAAAGAATACATATACACAGATACACTTACTGGTGATGTTAATTGACTTTTTGATTGATCATTTGTTTTCACATCTGGTATTTTCTCTTCTGTTACAGTGTCATCCACATTTTCATCAACAGTTGTTCTTTTGAAGGGCCTTTTCATTGGTGTCTTTCCAAAAACAACGTTATCCAGAGTGCTTTTGATCACTATTTTCTTCTCTTTGTACCATTTGTCAGCTTCTAGATCTACAACCAGTAATTTGGTTTCATTTGGCACACATTTTATTCGTTCAACAACTTGTTTGTGATTTTCATTTGCTATATTTACTCCATTCACCTCTATTATTCTATCTCCCTCTCTTAAACCAGCCAATTCAGCAGGGCTATCTTCATCAATTTTTCCAATGTATTGACCGGGTTTGGATTTTTCTGCATGCAAGTTAAAACCATAACCTTCAAAATCTGGCCACTTTATAATATGACATAATCTTGGTGCTGGTGCATCCAATGGAAGCTCTGATGACATTGTGCTAACCCAGAAATTCAAAATAGCACATTTTAACTTTAAGCAATAACACTTGAAAAATTAGACCATAACCTAAGTAACAATTTCAAAATTTTTTATGCATGACAATGCAACTAAGAACCATAATAAGATTAGACAACTAACATAATTAACCTCAAACTTCAACTGCTAGTTGAATAGTCTAAAATGCTTACATGTGGCTTAATCTACCTAAATTCAACCCATCCACAAAGAAACTATACAAGACAGGCACTTCCAAATACTCTGTAATAAAAGATTGGACATTTTCAGTAATATAATAAAAAAAACAATCACATTAACCCATACGTATATAACCCACAGAATGTGAGATTCCTTTGATGTCCAAAATACTTAATATGACTTAATGTACTTCAAATTAAACCAGAAGCTTACTCATTGACAAGTGTAGTAATTCTAGTACTAACCTAAGGGTTAAAATACATTGAATGATTATCACATTAATCCTCATGAATAACTCATTTCATTTGCATAATGTGAAAAAGTACTTTGACAAGAACAGTTTTGCTCATTAACTACAAAAATGTTATAGTACAAATGAATTGGCAGAGAATTTTCCTAAACTCTAACATATTACAATTCTGCCAGACAAACACAAAAATGTCCCATATTCCTGTAAATTTATTTAAATAATTTTTGTTCTTGTCTTCAAAGTAACATAAAATGCTAGTTACATACTCTTCAACAAATGATTACTTTTGTAATTTTATTTGATCTTTAATACTACAGACACAGATGGGGGAGGGAAGAGTATTTTCCAATATCCAAATGGTAGTAATAAACAGTCATACAAAGCTGTGGTATTTTCAGGTAGAAACTAATTTCCTGACAAATATTAGATAGTTAAACTTACTAATAACAGCACATTCACTCAAAAAATAAGGAGAGTAATTTGTGTTTGATAATTAGACTGAGTCTCCCTAATAGGTGTGAAATAATGAGACTGGCCACATTTGTTCAGACCATAAGGCAGAATGAAAGTGGGCAAGACAACAGTGTGTGTGTGTGTGTGTGTGTGTGTGTGTGTGTGTGTGTGTGTGTGCTAGTGTAGTAGT